TGATCTTATTATACTTTTGATTTACATTTCCCTGATGCTGAGTAATACTGAGCATCTTGTCATGTGTCTGTTGGCCATCCATATGTCTTCTTTGGAGAAATGTCTGTTCATGTCTTCTGCTTATTTTTAATTGGATTTTTGGGGGGAGGGGTGTTGAGTTGCATCAGTTCTTTATATATTTTGGATACTAACCCTTTATTGGATATGCCATTTGCAAATATCCTCTCCCATTCTGTAGGTTGCATTTTAGTTTTGTTGTTGGTTCACTGTGCATGTGGGGCATTTTGGTCTTTGTATTGTTGAGAAGTTGGTTTTCTATGAAGGGAACCCAAACAAGAGTTTCTTATTCTGCCATCTTGCTAACATTACACTCCCTTCCCATAATATTTTTGGTATCACAGCAGGATAGTCTTGTTTTAAAACACAAAATCAGTCTGTTATAAATATCGTCCTATCGACTATATGTAAATATATAGCCCTTTGGTCTCATGCATACATTAAACATGTTACTGAGGGTTTGCCTTAAGCCTAGGAGTTTAAAGGCAAAGATAGAGAAGCTTGGGGGTTTTCAGTGACCAAGCAAAGACTTAGCAAAACATCAGGAGATCTTGATACAGTAAGCAATTAATGTTTTTAAGTTCCTTAATGTTATCAAGAAAAACCTAAAACCTAGCATAACTTAATAAGGAATTCATTATTGACAAATATTTAGGCCTGTGATAGAACATAATGCTTTTGAAATCTTCCTGAATGGCTTATAAGAGAGCTATGAGTTTTATAAACATTTTTAAATTAAATATAGTCTATTTCAGTCTTGTTCTGTTCTCAGTTATTCATGAGGATGAGGATGTTATGGGTGTATTAGAAGATAGCAAATGCTTAGTAGACACAGATTCAGATGTAGCAGTAGTTGCAGCAGCCACGAGGGGTATGGTGACCAACAACACTAAAAATAAGAAGATACAGTAATAGGAATAGGAAAATTAGTGCAATGAGAAGAGCTCATAGTAGTAGTTAATATTTAAATTCTGGACTCAACATTACATTCCAGTTTGTCTTTTCTTTGTGTCTCTTTAATTTCTTGGGTACACCTTAACTCAGATAATATTTTTATCTCAGTTTATAAAAAACAAGCTTTGACTCTTCTTTCCCTGACTATGGTGTAACCCAGGGTTATACTGGGTTTGAGGAATTATTTTCAATAGACTTAGCAGTTTCATCTGAGGATAGATTAATGGTCCCCTTGATACCTCGTCACCTTTTATATTCTGCTTACCCTTAATTTGGTCTTTATTGTGTTTTAATCAGGAACCATCATGGGAATAATCTGAGACAAGGTTAGAATTTTATGTAAAATAATGAGAAAGGGCATGAGGAATAGAGACTGATGAAAATAAAGAATTGAAAAATAGTAAAATTCAATTTAATAACATTAAAATTAAAGCACCTGGCTATTCATTCGCCTAAAAATCCACTGGCTTTTTCACACCCAGGCACGTGAGCCAAGTGCTAGGTTAATGATAGTCTTACTAATCTGTCATCAGACTATTAAAAGAACATATGGGGCAATGACCTTTGTAATTATGCTAATGGAAGATCTTTCTTTATTTCAAAAAATACTTGAGGTCTGTGAGAAAAAGCTTCCTTCCTTAGATTGGCTCCGTATAAACTCTTCATTTTAAATTAAGTACATGCACAGGAAGAGTTGGATTTCTTCCCACCCACCCCACCACCCAATTTATTATCATTCCATGATTTTTCTTTATGCCAATACAACTAGTTATCCCTGTTAGGCAGGGAGAGGTCATTTTTACTACCATTACAAAGGTTAACACTTGACCAGAAGGACACAAATATTAACATTTCTGCAACAGGACCCCAGTGAACTGAGTAAAGAATAACAGATGCTAAGAGGTTGGTAATCTGGGAATGTTTGGCTTCTAGGCTTAACTCTGCCACTTACTGTCTATGTGCTTTGAGGTACATTATCTAAGATATCTGTGACTTGCTTTTTTAAGTAATCTCTACACCCAATGTGGAGCTCAAACTCATGACCCCGAGATCAAGTGTCGCATGCTCTACCAGCTGAGCCAGGCAATCCAATTACTGTGACTTTCTATATCTAACCTATAGACACAGTTTAATGGTATAATGATGAATTTCAGTATACAAAAATAAGAAAACTAGATAAACAAAAACAAAAGAATATATAAGTCATTCTAAATCCCTCCACCCAGAGGCAAGAACTATTAATAGCATGGTGTGTTTCCTTCTGCTTTTAGTATGTAGGTACACACACATGTGCACAGACATATACACACAAGGGAATTATGATGTATTTATATTTTTATGGGCATCTCTTTTTTCTTAATATCAGATTGGGAATATCTTTCTCTGATTCCATACACATAATCACCATCATTCCTTAATGCATATAAATCATTCCTTTTTTTTTTTTTAAAGATTTTATTTATTTATTCATGAGAGACAGAGGGAGAGAGAGAGAGAGAAAGAAGCAGAGGGAGAAGCAGCCTCCCAAGGAGCAGGGAGCCCGACGCGGGACTCGATCCCAGGACCCCGGGACCACGACCCGAGCCGAAGGCAGACGCCCAACCATCTGAGCCACCCAGGCGCCCTAAATCATTCCTTTTTAAAATTTATTTTCATAATTTATTTAGTCTCCATTTATTGGATGTTTAGCTTATTTACTGCATTTTTCTGCTACAAATAGGTTTAATTAATGCCTTTAGGCATAGTTTGAAAATTTGTGTCCATATGATAAGTTCTTAGAATTAAAAATGCTGTGCCAAAAGTATTCATATTTTTAGACATTTGCCACAATTGCAAACAATCAAAAAGAAAACTGTGTAAACCTACATGAACCAGCATTTCACAAAAGAAGAAACACTATGGCCAATAAATATGTAAAAAACTTAATGACTGAAAAAATGCAAATGAAGACACTGATGATATACCACTTTATACATATTCAGTTGGTGAACCTTTAAAAGTGTGATAATATCAGGTGCTGAGTATGTTACACTGGATCCTCTTAGATATTTCCATTGGGAGTTTAAAGTCATGTAACCACTCTGGAAAACAGTTCAATTTCATATTCTAAGATTGAACATTTATATATCTGGTAATTCAGCAACTCGCCTCCCAAGTACCTATGAGAATTCTTGTACATGTACAACAGGATATATATATACAAGAAAGTTCATGATAATAGAAATTTGGAAACATCTAAGTACCAATTATCTGGAGAGTTGAAAAAAAGCAATGTTATATCCTCTCAGTGAAATATTATACAGCAGTCAGTATGAATGAACAATATTGATGATTCTTGGTAGTAAAATAGTATGTAAACTCCACATCTCTAGAGAACAAAATAACCAAAATTAATGTGTCTTCTCTCTCTCATGTGTGCTGTGTGTATACCCTGTATATATGCATATATGTATATACGTGCATATGTGTACATGTACATGTATGTACACTTATATGTATGTATAAGCAGTAGATAATATTTTAAAAGAAACCAATGGATGATTAATATCAGATTTGGATGTGGGGAAAAAGGAGTATGAGATGCAAAGCACACACACAAACATACACACACTCACACACACACCCCAAATGAAAAAACAAACAAAAAACAGTCTATGCCAAAAGAATCCCATCAGCAAGAGTATAAGAATATCTGCTTCACTAAACTATATAATTCCATAGGGATTATACTTATTTTCCTCATATTTTCCAATCTGATAATTTCAAGGAAATAATTCACTGGGCAATATTATTGATTTGCCTTTGTTTATCACTAGCTAGTTGGTTTGCCCATTTTTTCAAGCATTCATTTGAGTAAGCAAGGGGGCCTGTTGACAGTGACCTGAGCATTAGTGTAGGGTAAGAACTGTGCTCATGCTTTTTGTGTATTATTGTTCCAAAGACTGTAGGAGTTGAGGTTGTTCTCATCTTACAAATGCTGAAACTCTGAGAGTGAAATCGCTAATATGGCTGCACCAGGGGTGACTCCAGAACCTGAATGTTAACAAGGGGCTGTGCTGCCTCGACATTTCTACGGTTTTATCTCACTTTTATTATATGAGAGTAATGGAAATTGTTGAATTTGAAATTATTATCATAGGTATCATGTCATGAAAGCCTTGGAGGCTAATAACAGTGTTTCATAAATAAAATAAAGGGAATTAAGGTAGTTAGGAGGGACAGGAGTGGCAGAGAGCAATTTAAGTTAGCATAATTTATTTCCAGTAGGCATTATGTAGTTTGAAGGATTTAATAGCATGGAATCACAGGGAAATATAAAAGTATCTGAAAACAAGCTTACAATAAGGAGGTAGTGACTTCTATGACAAATGAAAGCATCTGAAAAATGATTTGCAGATATAGAAAAAAAAGGCTTTTGGAAATAGCTGCCTGGTAAAATAGTTCGAAAGAGACACTGACCTTCTGAGCCACAGCCTCGTGGTAATATTTTTTCCAAGTTGGGGGTTAGGACCCAATAATGACCCATGGATCTGAAGAGTTAGTGGTGCCTGCAAGATAGATTGTGGGTTTTATTGTGTGAGAGGAAGAACCAAAAGAACCAGGAAGGGCCGGGAGAATCCTGTGGGTGGTGAGTGGGAGTTATGGGAAAAATCATGCTCTGACACATCTCTCAGGGCCTCTATTTCTCCATCTATAAGGAATGGTTTCTACACAGTCCCCTTCTGGACCTCAAGTTCTGTGATCTGCGTGCTTGCTTCTGTCCTGTAGGAAATAACATTTTTTTTTTTTTTTGGCCATTAATAGAAGCAGCATCTTCTAGCCTTTAAAAAAATAAGCAATTGTCATAACCACAATTTCAAATAGAAAACTAGGGTTTCTTAAGTAGCTACAGCAATGGTCTGAAACTTTGCAGGTTTTGTTTACAAAATGAGCAACTTCTTTCACTGATGTGACTTTGCAGGGCAGCATGGATGACTATTGACACTTACCTGTAACCACCCTGGAATCCATAGCTCCAGAACAATCATCCGTGTCAGTCTTTGTCACCCTCCTCTCCCTATTCCTGACCAACTGCAATTTAAAGCAACTCAAAAAAGCTTGTAGCTATGCAGGGAGAGATGAGCGTCCATGGACTTGTTTTTTGTTTTGTTTCGTTTTTTTTTTTTTTTTTTTTTTTTTTATGAACAGTTTCAGAAGAAATAATCATGAAGGGGAAAATTCAACAATTGAGGAAAAAAAATAAAAACATTAACCAGGATGAAAGTCTCCACGTAACCTATTCCTGTTGCCCAAGTAGCAGCTTTGTGGTCAAGACAGGTCTATAAATGTGCAATTTAAAGGACACTCACTGTTCTGAGAAGATAGTGTGTATTTGGGGGGCAGAGGGAAAGGGCCAGGGAGTGGGTACCGGTTGTTGGGAGTGCAGGAGGTGTATACTAACTCTGTAAGCTATCCTTGGACTTGGGTCTAAGAGGCTGAGGGAATGTAAGGATAAAGATAAAATGATCCCCATGCCCCAAAAGGGCTTTAAGGCCTTTCATTGGAAGAGGGGAGATCCCAGGTAGTTATAGTCACCCTGATGGCACCGGGGTCATTGGCAGCTTACCATTTAAGCAGTGTTTAGAGAAAGGGAGTTTGGCTCTTTGTGTTTGGGGATCTAGATTCTGGAATATGTTGGGTATCACTTCACTTTTTTTTTTTCAATTGGTGGAAGTAACTCACAGAATTGAAGAGAGGATCCCCTTAGTCACAGTGGAGGGAAGTCTTTGTTTTTCTCCCCTTTGTCAAGTGGAATAGAACCCAGACTGTGTCATATCACAGACTTGACAAGATCTGTTCATGTCTGGCTGGGTGGCATGAGAGAGGCACCTCTTCTGTCAGTTCTGACCCTTTCCAGTTTGAATTCCTGCTCATCCACCTGCCTTATTTCTCCCGACCTTTTCTCCCAAAAAGACCCTTAAAAACTAACGATACAGAGAATTATTGACTGGATCCCAGGAGAGATTTTTGTGTTAGCTGAAGGTCTAATGATAGCAGAGTGAGGTAATGGAAAATCTAATTACTTGGAGGGACAGCCTTATGACTTCTGTGATGCTGAGCCTCAGGCGGACCCTGTCGCATCTGGATTCATAGAAAAAGAAAAAAAAAATCAACAGTAGAGAGATGACCGAAGGATTCATCAACAAATTATGAACAGATATATTCCATTCGTAGGCAACTATAACTATTATAGAGAGGATTGTAAGTTCCTAGACCATGGTAGAGAGCAGTAGTGTGGTGGTATTATTTTACTCTATTAGATATTGAGTATCCACACACTTGCAGAACACAAGGATGATACAAAAGAAAAGGAGGACTCCAAGTATGTTCAACAAAAGGAAATTAAATAGAAACTTAAGCATACACAAAATCCCATACATGTTTGTGTTTTACCAAAGGAGGTAAGAAGTGTTGAAAAGATAAAATAGGGAGCAGCCGGAGAGGCAGATAAATTAAATAGGGCAAAATTCCCTTGTTGACCTGAACTTAAATCTGTGTTCTGCACAGGAAGAGGAGCACCGAGCAGCAGAATGGGGGAAAAATCTACAAGGGGTAAGGATGAGCCAGTGTAGAAGCAGAGTGTTGGGAACAAGCAAATCCTGTAAAATAGAGGCAAAATCAATAATTTTGAGTGTGCTGGAGAAATAATGTTGAACTGTAATGGGATATGTGACTGGTAAATAGTATGCATGCTGTTGAGGTTTTGAAAGCTGAGGTAAAGAGTTCTGGAGTTTGATATGCAATAGGATATATATCTGTCCTTATCTATCTGATGAGTGTCTTGATGATACAGAGCTAAAGTTTGCTCTAGAAGTTACTTATTGAAGGAGAATGTAAGATTATTACTGTAATATGAGGTAGGTTCCAGGGAAAAAGTGAAAACCCAAAAATATCTGCAAAAAGTACTGAGTCAAGGAGCTATATTGGCTTTTGCCTCTCTGAGCAGTTGAGGGAAATTTGTAACAATTTTTATTTTCTGTAGGTAATTTTTGGAAACCTGTATGTTATTACCATACTGAGCTCAATAAAGCAAAGAAGGGAGGGCGCCTGGGTGGCTCAGTTGGTTAAGCGACTGCCTTCAGCTCAGGTCATGATCCTGGAGTCCCGGGATCGAGTCCTACATCGGGCTCCCTGCTCAGCGGGGAGTCTGCTTCTCCCTCTGACCCTCCCCCCTCTCATGCTCTCTATTTCATTCTCTCTCTCAAATAAATAACATCTTAGTACAGCTAAGAGTAAAGGAATTTAAAATACCTTGTTCTTGAACAGTGTGTTATGTTCTACAAAGTGCCCTCGCAGCACTGATGCTCACGACTCCCCCTCTATCTAGGGGGTGGGCAGGGATTATCTTTCCCCATCCCACAAGGGAGGAAACCAATGCTCAGAGAAGCTGAGCAAGCTGCCTAACATCACACAGCAAGCCATGGGCAGAATTGAGACTTGAACCTAGACGCCCGGCACCAGCCCAGGGAGGCTCCTCTGCACCTCACAGACCCCCCAAGAGGCCGGCCATTCCCAGGGACTGAGGAGTTAGGAACTGGTTAATGGCGGGGCGTTGGTGGCGGGGGGGTGTCTTGCTAGGGTGGGGCAGAAGACAGAGTGGCCAAGGGCTGGGGAGGCCTGATGAGGAAGAACACCGTAGAGAAGCAGCACCCTTTCCCCCAGGACTCAGGCTGCCCGGGCTTGTGGACAGCAGAGAGACCCAGCGCTGGGCTGCCCACCTGGTGTCTGGGGATGGGGGAGTGCCAGGAGGCACCCAGCAGTGGAAGGGTGGGTTTTGGAGTTGGGATGGAATTGTGGGCTCTAATCAAAAGTCTACAACAGACTCACTCTGGGACCCTAGGATGGTCCCCTTCTGGCCCTCAGCTTCCTCATGTGTCAGATGGGAATGACGGTAGCCATAAACTCTTGCTTTGCTTCAGATCACCTAACACCACCTGATTCATAAGTAAAATGCTGAATTAAAACAGTACTTTGTGAGCCAGGAAATGCTGACAGAATTGTTGAAAGCAGCTCAAAACTGGGTTAGTGACCTTAGGCAAGTCATTTCCCTCTCAAAGCCTCAGTTTCAAATCCATAAAGTAGATAAAGCCTTATGTTCCCTCCAGATCTAACATTCTATAATTTTATAACTTTGTGCAGAGTCCACTCAATTTTCCCATCTGTATCCTCAGCAACAGCATGAGGCCTGATACAATCCTCTGTTATTCCTAAGAACAGACACATTGGTTTGTCTGAAAGTCCTTCAGACTTAATGTTGGCTTCCTTCTTTCTAACAGCAAGGTTGGATCTCACAATCTAATAGTTGCGGGAGGGCTGGGCAGGCTTCAGATTCCATCCCTGCAGCATGGCTCACTGATACACTGTCAGCCTTCTGGACAATTAAACAAGGAAGTACGAAACCAATGGCTCTTTGCTTGTTTGTTTTGAATTTCCTTGGCCTTCGACTGCAGGTGAAACCCTTGGAGGCTGAACACAAGAGTTCAATATAGAGACACATGCGACAGCTGATGCCCATCCAAGGCAGCGCTTTAGACCAGGGTGGTGGGGGCCGAGTCGCAAGGGCAGTCTGCAAGAATTCCAAGTAGGGTAACCCTGACTCTCTTCTTCATCTCTAGCTTGTAAAACGAACCCAACTGCACATCCCAGAAGCATGGAGAATGCATCCCCTTCAATGCTCACACTTGGTCTTGTTGCTGAGAGAGTCTTAGTGGGTCACGGGACTGGTTCTAGGCCGGGCTTGGCACCTAACAGGCGAAGTCATGGAAAGACAGGAACTTTCCCTTTTGAGCCTCAGCTTCCCCATCTGTACACAGGAGCACTGAGCCCACCCAAAAGAATGGAAAGCAGGGACTCAGATATTTGTAAACCCATATTCATGGTAGCACTATCCACGGTAGCTAAAAGGTAGAAACAACCCAACTGAGCATCAAGAGATGAATGAATAATATATATATGAAATTCTGACACCTGCTACAACATGGATGAACTTTGAGGACGTTATGCTGAGTTAAATAAGCCAGACATGACAGGACAGATACTGTACGATTTCACCTATATGAGGTTCCTTGACTAGTCAGATATATATATAGAGAGAGAGAGAGAGAGAAAACAGAATAGAGGTTACCAGGGACTGGGGGAAAAGGGAGAATTTTTGCTTACTCAGTACTTATTTGGGGTGATGGATCGGCACTGGAGATGGACAGTGGCCATGGTGGCACAATATAGTGAATGTACTTACTGCCAGTGAATTGTAACCTTAAAAAGTGTTAAAACAGTACATTTTATATTATATATACTTCACCACACTTATGAACATCTCTAAAAGAGGGGCACCCAGAGGTGCCTGGGTGGCTCAGTTGGTTAAGCATCTGCCATCGGCTCAGGTCCTGGGATGGAGCCCAGCATCAGGCTCCCTGCTCAGCGGGGAACCTGCTTCTCTCCCCGCCCCCCCCGCCGCCTTCCCACCCCCGCTCAAGCATACTCTCTCTCAAATAAATAAAATCTTTAAAAATAAATTTAAAAATAAAATAAAATCTCTAAAAGAAAGAAAGAGCACTGGGCCCAGTGTTTCCTAAGGCCCCTTCCCGCTCTGTGCTCCAGCCGCCATCCCGTCCCGGGCGGGAGAAGGGCAAGGGCCAGAGAGAGCACAGGCGAAGAGACTGCAGCCCCAGAGAGCCCGCTTGTACCTTGGCTCTCGTAGTAGACAATGCCTGCAAAGTGGTTGATCCCAAACTGAGTCTCATGGTTGTTCTTGGGGGGGATGTAGTTGGAGTTCAGCTTGTGCTGGGAGTTCAACTTATGCAACATGGTGGTGTCTGTGCCCTGTGGGAACCGATGGCCATGCTCAGCCTCCCTCTGCCCCAGGTCCTCCTGCCCCCGCTGCCCCCGGCCTTCGCGCCCCCTCTTCTGTCTTTCTCAAGAGCTCCCTCCCTTTATTTGTATCCCACACAGGAGCTCTCTGGGCCTCCACTTCTCTATCTATTAAGTGGGTGGATTGGAACTACACTACCTTGAGCATTCAGTCCAGTTTAGAAAATCTATTTCCCACAATGAAACTCATGGGAGCAGTCGCTCCCCCACTCCGAGACACATCCCAGGTCTGGAGAACCTGTTCTGTGTCAGCTACATGCTTAGATCTCCATCGTTTGGTCCAGGACCCCGTGGGCTGCAGCTGATCCCCAAATGTCAGATGAATGCACCTGCACTGGCCCCAGAGCCACCCTGAGAGGCACGTATCATTGGTCCCATTTTACAGATGAGGAAAGCTGAGGCTCAGAGCATGAGGGGATGTTTTGCACAGGCGCCCAACAAGGGGCAGGCGCACCTTGGGGAACTTGCTCTCCTCGTCGATGAGGGAAATGATGTTCATGGGCTTGTTGGCGATCAGGTCCAGGGCATCCTGGTTGTCGGTAAACTCGATGTGCAGCCAGTCGATGCTCTCCAGGTCATATTCCTCTTGCTCCAGCTTGAACACGTGCCGCACGAAGAACTGCTGCAGGTGCTCATTGGCGAAGTTGATGCAGAGCTGCTCGAAGCTGCAGGGGGCACAGGGGATGGGCGAGGGGCTGAGCAGGCCAGCCCGTCCTTGGCCACGCTGTGCCTGGAGCAGGCTGACAGGCAGGCACCAACTCCCCGGCAGAGGGCAAGGGCCAAGGCACTGGGGGGCGGCGGGGGGGGGCGGCAAGAAGAGGGATACAAAGTAGTCAGGGAGAGGGGAAGGGGGCTGATGAGATTTAGTAAGTGGCCTCCTGAGGGCCAGCATCTCTGAGTCACCAACCCAGTGCTCTCCCAGGTGACACTTCACATATTCATTGTGGGTGTTTGGTTGGAGATGGGGGGCTTTGAGACATCCAAATGTTACAGGAATTGAAGTGACCTGCCAGGGGTCACACAAGTAGGAAGTGGGGCAGGGCAGGGGCCTCCAGCCCCGGGATCCACCGGGGCCTGCTCCTAAGAATGACCGTTCAGGAAGTGTGGGACCCTGAGCGTGGCTCGGCCTCACCTTGCACCTTGGACACTGGAGTGTGCACGACGGCGTATGAGCCTTCTCCCCAGCAGCTGGAGGGGCGGGCCGGAAGGGGAGTGAGAGAGCCCACCAGGATGACTGGAGGCAAACTCTCCCACAGCCCAGCAGAGCGTGCTCACAGCCTGCTCAGGGCAGTTTATTATTATTTTTTTAAGATTTTTATTTATTTATTGAGAGAGAGAGAATGTAGAGAGAGAGCATGAGAGGGAGGAAGGTCAGAGGGAGAAGCAGACTCCCCGCTGAGCAGGGACCCCGATGTGGGACTCGATCCCGGGACTCCAGGATCATGACCTGAGCCGAAGGCAGTCGCTTAACCAACTGAGCCACCCAGGCGCCCCCGCTCAGTGTAGTTTAAAGGCAGAGGTGTGACACCTGTTCTGACCATGTTGTGGAAGAAAATTCCCACAGAGCAGAGCCCCTTGTGGTACCTGTTCACAGCGAAGTTCTCAAACCCAAAGATGTCCAGGAGGCCGATGGACCTGCGAGAGCTCTTCACTTCCTGGGAGGGGGGCTTGTAAATTGCCGCATTGATCTTGTCCACAATCCACACGAAGAGCCGCCCGTAGATGCCCTGAGAGGTGGCTGTGTCAGCCACTGGGCCCACGTGCCCTCTCAAGGAGACGGGCCAGGTCCCCGGACCGTCACGGCTTTGCTCAATCCCTCCTGTGCTGTTTGAAACCCCCTAGTCTTTACTCAAGCTGTTCCCTCTGTCTTGGAGCCCCCTTTTCTGTTGGAACAATTCCTTACTCCTTCTCAAAGCTCTGCCAAGAAGCCTTCCCTAACCCTCCTTTGGGCTCCCATCTCTCCATCCACCTCTGTCTCCCTATCAGCTCTGAACATCTCGAGGGTCCCAGAACTCAGCACAGAACGTGGTGCAGGGCAGGGGCTCAATGGCTGGCAAACTCGTGAGTGTGGAAACCCAAGGACTGGGGCCTTCTCCACCTGACCCAGCCCATCTTCAGTGTCTTCTTTGGAAAGACCAGAGAGGGTATCCTCTGGGCTGGGAATAGCACAGCAGACCAAGTGCTCCAACAATAAGACCCAGCATGAGGCCCACGGGGCTGGAAAGCAGAGCAGGCCGGGGACGGGAGACCTGGCAGGGCCCCTGAGGAGCACAACACTCAGCCCCTTGTGGGAGGAGCAGAGCTCAGGAGAAGGCAGACTCTTGCTCAGCAGCCCCCGTCCCCCCGCCCCCCCACAGAGCCAGTGGCCAGGGCCTGGGTCCAAGGTCAGACAGGGGTCAAGGCCCAGACGTCTTTCTGGGTAACTCCTGGCTGTATCAACAAGGGGCGGCGCAAGCCCCTCCACAAAGGCCCACCTTGACAAAGGCATCTCGCACATCCAGGGCCTGCTCCCTGCTGAGCGGGGTGGACACAGTCTCCCCGCGGGTGATGAGGGTACGGCTGGTCAGGCAGTTCATCAGGTCCGGGGGGTTCACCTGATGGGGCAACATCCGGCTGCTCCCCCAGCCACCCCCTTTCCCACTGACGCTCCAGGCCTGGCTCAGACCAGTCCCTCCACCGAGAGTGTCCTGCCCCACAGCCCCACAGGCAGATCCTCTCCAGGCACCACACCCCGCCCAGATGTGCCTGGAAGGACTGCTCTCTCCTTAACAGCCTCCTCACTGACCCCCGCCGGTCACCTGGCCCTCCCAGGACTGGCTCAGACTCTGGCTTGACTCATCCCAGTTTTCCAACCCAGGGCAGAGCCTAGTAAGCCTTTGCTGAGAGAGTGACACACCGACTCACCCAGGGTCCCCTGCGCCCCACACCATCCCCAGGGGTAGCGGGGCGAGGGCGGCGAGGCTACCGGCCGCCGGGCTCCACTCCTCCTCTGAGACCTGTGCCCAGCACAGATCCTGCACACCGTCCGTTCTCCGTATTGAACTTCTAGAACTCTCCCAAGCAGAGCCCCAGCCTCCAGGTTCCCACATGCCCAGCCCCCTGAGAGAAACCGAAGCAGCCATCGGGACAGAAGGCTGGACGCTGACCTCGAGCAGGGATGCGGCTGTAGCCAGGGACGGGGAGAAGAGGACCTCACAGGCGTCCAGGTTTTCAAACGTCCGGGCTGTCACAGCGAGGGGGCGCAGGGTCAGGCAAGCGAGGGTGGGCATGGGGGAAAGGGGCAGGCTAGGAGGGCCCGGCTCTCGGGAGTAGGGGGGGTCTTCCTGTCCACTGCTTCTCCAGATCAATGTATATTTGATGGATGTTCTCCCCACGAGCTATGGGCATCGTGAGGTAGGAACCCCGTATGTCCGGCACCCGGCACCATGCCCGGCATCCAAGTGGACACACTGGCCGTCATGGCCCTCTCCCCTCACGCTCCTCCACCCTGGACTCCCAGAGCTCTCGACGGCAGCCCTGGCTCCTATGAAACAGGGCTTGTAGCTGCTGGGGCAGAAGCTAAGCCACAACACCCCCCAGACAGCTAGGTGTTGCGCTGCCCATGAACCCAGGGTGGGGTTGGGGCGGGGGTCCACCACTGGGGCTCCTCACCCTCATACTGCAGGTTGCCCAGGTGCAGGATGGCAGCCAGGAGCTTGGAGATCTCCCAGTTCTCCGTGTCGGTGAACATGAGCACCTTCATGGCCGAGCGGATGTTGGCGTACTCCTGGCTGTCCTCCCGGCCCTCACAGGTGATACAGTTACCCTGGCGGGCAGAGGTGGGCGGGTGGGCTCCAAGAGGACATCAGCAAGGCCGTGGGGACCCCCAGAGAGGCAATGGCTGGGCTGAAGGTCCCCCTCTGCCAGGCCAGGCCAGTCTGGGGGGCCAGGCACCGACCTCACTGCGAGAGCACCATGACCTCTCCAGAAAGTCTAGAAAGCTCCTGGCTAGGGCTTTTTAAGAACACATTTCCCACTCGTAGGGACCCTGGGTGCCCCTTCTTCCCAAGAGTGAGAGGAGCTGGGTCGCTGAGACCAGGCCTGGCCCGTCCCCTAGTCTGGCAGTCACAGCACCCAGGCTCTACTCTGCTCCCACCCCCCGCTGGACACTCTCGCTCAGGGACTTGAAGGCCTCACCCGGGGCAACCAGGGGCAGGCTGGGGCAGGGGGACCCCCAGCATGTGTGCCCGTGAACCGTGTTCACGTGCGTGTGTGCGTGTCACCTCCTGCAGCTACAGCAAGTATCTGGGAAGGCCTGCACACCTGTGACCCCCACATCCCTCGTGTGTCCCTGTGGGCCGGCCCGGCCTGGCTCCAAACAACCAGGCAGGGATTCTCCCCAGGGCTAAGGAAGCTGGTCCCCCGCCGAGCCGGCCTGCTGTGCACTCGCACCCCCATGCATCTGATGCTGGGTGGCAGCAACGGCCCTGGGGCCCTCTTCTCCTTGGTGGCCAGGCAACAGCAAGAGGCTGGCACCTGGGCTCCGTGCCCAGTTGAGCCCCCGAGGCTGAAGCTGCAACAACCTGAGCCCTCCAATCCTGGGGGGCCTGGCAGAGGTCCCGGGCTTCACGTCCTCAAAAACTGAACTAACACAGCATGTGTGTGCGGGTGGGTCTGTGCACATGTACACACGGGCAAGTGTCTACAAGTCCCTGGGTCTAGGCTGTCTACACAGATTGAGGAACATGTGTATCTGCGATGACAATTCATCTAGATGCTTGTGCACGTGGGACTATGCCCAAGCGGGGGACAGGCCTGACGGCATATATAAGCTCAGAGTGGGCTGGGGCAGGTCAGGGGATGGGGTGGGGGTGGGGGATGCCCCCACAGAGGATCCCACCCACCAGGCCTGGAGCTGGGGAGCGGCTGGGTAGGTTGCCCCTGACCTCGCTGGGATCGGTGTCCCCCTCCCTGGCTGCCCCACCCGGGCCTCACCATAGCCAAGTAGTTATAGTCTGAGGCCTGGCCCAGGCCCAGCTTCTTCTTCTGATCGGCACTCATGCCCTCCAGCATGCAATAGAACACATGGTAGTTTCGTTCATCGGAGGCCTGCAAACGTGGGCACAAGGTGTTGGGGGATAGAGGCAGGGGAGGCATCAGCAACCCGACAAGATGAAACGCGGTTTACTATCTTAACAAACGACTTTGATCCAAAAGCCCCTGTGGGCAAGTTTCATGGCAGGAATTCAGGCACCGCGGTGAGCGGGCAGTGGCATAGGACAATCCAGACCATGAGGCCCCCACCCGCACCCGAGGCTGGGGGTCCTGGGCAGGTCCGGCTCTGCCCTGGGCTCGGGCCCACCTGGCGACAGACACGGGACTTCTCCAGCAGGTACTGCTCGATCTTGGCACCCTCGATGGCACCCCGCTTGTTGAAGTGGATATCGATGTACTTCCCAAAGCGGCTTGAGTTGTCGTTGCGGATGGTCTTGGCATTCCCAAACGCTTCGGGGTGGGGAGAGGGTCATGGGCAAGGTCAGCACCTGCCCAGCCCCCCGAGCACCACTCTTAGAGCCCTGGCCCTACCTTCCAGGATGGGGGTGGCTTCCAGCACCTGCTGCTCGATCCATGAGTGTTGCCCGCTGATGGCCGCCAGGAACTGCAGGATCAGCTTGGTGCTCTCTGTCTTCCCTGCCCCAGACTCCCCGCTGCAGAGGAGACCCAGAGAGAGGCAGGGCCCATCACAATCTGCATGGGCCTCTCCCTACGGGGCTTCAGCCCAAGCTGCTTCTCCCACCTGCACCTTCCCCACTCCCCAATCTGTAAAATAGGCCGACAGTATGGACCTTTCAGGGACGGGAAAGGCTCCAGGAGCTCAGGGCTCTGCCAAGGCCAAAGGTACTTTCCTTCCCCTTCATTTAGACACACACACACACACACAAACA